ATATATAAATAATAATATTTTCATTTTTCGATCATTTTATTTTAATAAAATCCCTTTATGTATAAAATAATGAAATAAATTGATTACTGTAAGGAGAATATATAATTACATTTAAGAAAAAGCTATGCATTGTGAAATTGCGTACTTTTTTAAACGCAATTACATTTGTTTAAATTTTATGAATGAATTTATTTAATCAATTTGAGCAAAAAGTAAGATAAGTGAAAATTGAATTAAAATTAATATTTTACTGAATAATTTTATATTTTATTATGTCAATATATGTCAAAATAAAGTACGAAATATTTCATTAACTGATTTTTTTATGATTGTATCTTATTATCGAATTAAAAGAATCAAATTACATGTAAAGAAAATATTGCAGATAACTCTATGTAGAAATAATTTCTAGAAGTGCATATGTCTACTAAGAATATATAATAGGGAAAAGTGGAATATTATTGTCCTATATGTAAATTGAGTTGTACGACTTTGCAAACTCGTGTCTAACGCATTTCGAAATTCTCGTTGACCTTATTTATTCCGCCAAAATTCATAACACGAATACGATTAATACCAATGGGAATTTTGTCTCTGCAAGTCCTTTGACTTGATAATTAGTTACTTTTCTACTGTGTGGCATGACATATGAATTATAAGCTTCCACGTCTCTTCAGCGGGAGACATTAAATTTTGGTAGTAAAGAAGGTTTTAAACGAGAGGAACTTTTACGCTTAAATTTGAGGAAGTGATTAAAAAGGTCGCGTTTGTAATTCCATCCACGCTTTCTCGTGTAATCCGATTTCTCTGCACTAATCTAATTAATCGATCGGTTGTTCGTTGCGGTTGGTTTATCGTGACGTTTATATCTTTTTTCAATTGTATCTATTGAGTGTGTTCTATAATATATACAAACAGAAAATTGCATTGCAATTGAATTGCGTTTACTTAGGATTTTCTATTGTTTTCATTGCTGCAAAGAGTCGCGCTGGCTTAACATTTAACATTGCGCATTGTCTGATTAATTTTCCCATTCGCTATCAATACAATTCTCTCATATTTTATTATTCATTTCAAATACACGCAATCTTTAAGGTTTCTCTTTTAAATACATTGTACAGAATCCATATTTTAGTGAAGTCGTAGAATTCTTTTTGTTCAGAATTTCCATTAATTTAAATTCACATTTCTTCACGAGTATATTTAAGATACATGGTTTTTTGTCTTGCAGTCCGAAAGGCAATAAATTGGAGATGTTTGCCGGGGTAAAGAATCAAATGTCCGGCTGGTTGAGTGGTGGTATACCCGGATTAAGCCGCGGCGCCGGGGCTGCAGAAGGTGAGGCCCCACCGTCAACCGAAACAGAAGAGAGTCAGCCCGAAGAGAGTCAGGCTCCCGTCAGCGAGCAAGTCAAGGATGATGACGCAAGCAGGTGGGGGTAATATATTTGTTTTATTTATGCTTTATTAAATCGTTGCGTATGAAATGTATTCTTTTTGTTCTTTTTTATATCAACGATATCTTGCGACAGGATAATTTCCGCAGAAATAAAATATACATAAGAAATAAAATTGAAAAAAAAAACTTAATCAATGTCTCTTTTTTTTATATGTCTTTGTATGAAAAACTAATCTTTTTCTAATTAAATGTAGAATATTTTTAAGATGGAAAAGGTTAAAAAAGTCGTAAGTTTTATATTTATTGAGTGTAATATAAATTAAATTTTGCATTATTAAATAAATACGAATCTCTTCAATTTCTGTGTTTTTATAAAAATTTGCTGCAGCTTGACAAATCAAAAACTAAAATAAAAAATACGCACTTTTGTAAGAAAGACACGTCGCTTTAATGTGATAATACCATTATCTTGAATGATGGTCATTTTATAAAAGCGTTCCATAAAACTGAAACTTTTGGAATTCAATATTTCATGTGCAACGAACCCTATTACTATTCGCGAGCATAGCATTCGATCTTGTCAGATAAATGTTGGAATGCACAGGGAAAATATTTTCAGTGCGACCGGTGGAGCGGACAGCGGTCCCGCGAGTTTAGAGGGCACTCCAACTGACGACAAAAATGGACAACAAGCTTTTGGCGCTGGTAAGCTCCATAGTATTAATCCTTAGTACACAATGATTTTCCAATCCTTCACTACACACGATGGGATGATCATTCATGTCACGGATTAATTTTTATCACTTTAATAAATACTTCAAAAATTATTATGTAATTCTTATATGTACTTTAATCTTTAGAAAGTATTTAACAGATCACGTATTTAAAAAATTGTATATAAATTGTATATAAATATTATAATCAATTGATATTCCTAGTTTTTGAAGAAAAAAATATGTGCGGGACACAAGTGACCCAATCGTGTGTACTAAAGGTATTTGTGACTATACCATCAAGATTGATGATCGCCATCGTATTTGTATCAAGAAATCACTTTCAACGCTATTTACATCGTTATTCGCGAGATTAAAACGTCTTATGTGGTATTTTTCACGAGACTACCTCAGCGAATCCTGGATATATATCATTTCAAACGTGGGTCGACATGCTTCATGCGTCAGCTTACTTTATCGCTATAGCTTCGTATAAAACCATTTCGCTTAAACTATTTTAGATAGGCAAAATTGAAAGCACGTTTGAGCGAATAACTTCGCCCACATATATTATCTCGAACGTGTTTGATTCTTTGCCTTTCGTGAACAGTGTGGATACTTTGTACAATCACTTTAGACAAGCGCTTTAATATTTTAAAAAATATCTGCGAAGGTTGTATCTAATTTTGACTACAATTTTCAAGCATTTACGCATACTCGCTGTCAGAGAAAAATTAATCGGTTCTTTAACTCCATGCTTGTTCCTGAAAATTACGTAGAAACTTTTAATTTATTCCTCGTTCGTAGATACAAGAAGAAGATGCTGAAAAGCTTATATAAAAGTAACTTATATTAGCACTGATATCCATCACATCCATATAGAGTATTTTCTTATGGTACAA